GCTATCCTCTTCCACCTCACTTAAAATAGCCTATGAAACTTAAGGTGTGATTATGTGTTGCTGTTATTTCTTTGGCTGGCTTGTCAACATAGCTGCTAATTATTATTATTAGTTTTTTACTGAGAACATTAATTTAAGATTCATTCATATTAATTAACATGTGTTCCTTAGGTGGTCATTAAGTTGGACCTAATACAATTGTGATACTTTTATTACTCAGAAGGAGACTAGGAGAATGTAGGTAACTTACCCAAGGTAGTGCTACATAAGAACCTAGGACATGTTAAGCATAGTTGTAAAGTATTTAATGTATCTTGATTTTAGAATAACTTTGTCCACTAATGTGATGGAGTTGCAATCAAAATACAAAAGTAGTTACCCCTTCTTGTTTTTTTACCATATAAGTTTAGGTATCCTGCAGGGCAGGTGACTTCCCAGGTATACCCAAAGGACAGCAAAACGTTGTAATCAAAACAAAGAAGGTTTTCCTCCTTAGAGGTAAAAATGCTGAATCATAAATGATGCTGTGATAAAATCCTCATTGGTTTCCAGCTAAAGTAACTATTCAGATCATTAGAATTTTTGACTAAATTGTATTTATGCCTGATACAATTTATGCCTAGTCTGATAATACGATTAGAAATCTGAGAAGAAGTTCTTCTAGGAGAACATTCAAAAGTAACAAAACTGATACGATTCTCAGCAGAGAGAAATGCCAGTGTTACAGGACTCATATTTGTAATCTGGAAATCTGGGCAGGATATATCCATGGATATGATTTTAAGCTACTTTAACATGATCGGTTGTATTGCCCAATCTTCCTAAAATATTTCCTTTATATTTGACTTCAAATTCAAATGCAATTAATGGTCATTTATTTTTACTTTCTTATGATTAGCTTGTTAAATAATGCCTAGTTCTAATAATCCCCGTAATGTTTATGTAACCAGCAATAAAAAAACAGTGTGGGATTTTTACCCTCTTCATCTTGTTTCAGTTCATTTGGTGTTCCTATCAGATTTTGATTTGACATCTCATAAAGAAATGAAATTCTTTATTCCGTTTCATTTACATTGCATATAAATGGACCTTTTCTCAGCTCCCATGTTATTTTTCCTATTAAATCAATGATGAGGAAAGGAATTTATTTGTCTGGTAATTTAGTTTAGCTATACTGTTGTCTGGGGTTTTTATATGTGATAAATAATATTTTATATGAAAGCTATAGCTCTTTATAGTTGGGGGATGCTACAGCAATCTGCATATCTGCAAAATGTTTCTCCCATCGTTTGCCTTATTTGTTGAGATTTGCTACAGTGGTGTTGAATAGTTGGGCAGGGTCACAGGTTAATTTCCCATGAAACAGATTCTTAGGCACAGATTTGCAGGAAGCTTATTGCACAGAATAGGCAATAAGACGTACAACTGAGTAGAGGGAGTTGAGGGGTGTGCATTCATAAAAAGGCCTCAGCTGATAGCACAAGGAGCTCCTTTGCTTGGATGCCCCTTCAGAGTTAACTTTAATCAAAGAAAGCAAGACAAGCTTTTATGCTTGTTTTAGTCAATTCTCATATTGCTATGAAGAACTACCTGAGACTGGGTAGTTTATAAAGGAAGAGCCTTAACTGACTCACCATTCCACAGGCTGTACAGGAGCCATGACTAGGGAGGCTTCAGGAAACTTACAATCATGGTGGAAGGTACACACCTTCACATGGAGACAGGAGAGAGAGAGTGAAGGGGGAAATGCCATACTCTTTTAAACAACCAGATCGTATAAGAACTCACTCACTATCATGAGAACAGCAAGGGAGAAATCCAGCCCCACCAATCACCTCCCATCAGGTCCCACTCCCAACATTGGGAATTACAATTTGACATGAGATTTGGGTGGGAACGCAGAGCCAAACCATATCAATTCTCTACAGTAACCAGTCATTAGATTTGGGCTGCTTCCAGGGAGGTAACTTGACTCTGGATGAACCGCTTTCTTCGTCTGAGGATGTTGACCAGAGAGGAACTCAGGTGAGAGCTGTCATCTGCCAACACTCCCAAATAGCTGGGAAAATGAGTGTTTCAGGCCTGGGGTGCAGCAGGTAACCTGCATGGTTCATCAAGGCATCCACTACCATCCATTGCTTGCCCTGTGCAGCTCTGTATGTGTCACATAAATTCTTAGAGAGCTCCTTCAGGATTTTTGTGTGCCATTTTTCCCGGAGAAGTACATCATAGGAGAAAATGGTAAGATAAACCACAGACCTATTCTCACTTCACTGCATTTTTTTCTGAGGCTGCAAATGATATTCCTTCTCTCTCCTGTATCAACCATTAGAGATTTTCCTGATCCTTTCTGTAAGCTGTGCTGACTTGGGTGCCTTACCTACAAAAATGACCCAGAATTTGATATCTCTCAGATTTGAGCCAGTAGTCACCATGATCTGCTCAGACCAGGACTGTTTTGTTTTCTGTTTTTTATGTTGTTGTTGTTGTTGTTAAAAATTGGACTAGCATCACACCAGGAGTTCTCCTCTCATTGCCAAACATATTCTTCTTTGCCCTCACTTATTTGACCTGCTTCCTCCAGATGGTCAATCTATTATCCCTCCCAGAATGGTGACTCTTTCATTTTGTCTGGTGGTCTCTTGGCATGAGGATCTGGACCTATAAACAAACCACAGAATTCAGAGTCTCTGAGATGTTTAAGCAAAAATAAATAGATTACTAGATGTGTTGGTGAGTGGGGTCATTTGTATGTCTATATTGTTTCTGGACTATATTTATTCTGCCTGAAAGGACATGAAGGCATGTTATGGGTCACTGGTTTGGGGTATTATTTTGTTCTAGTTCATGGTATCCTGTCCTTTCGGGATGCCATCTCCAAGGTGGTGCTTCAGTAGTATCTTCTGTAGAATGTCTCATTGTTTTATCAGGGCAGCATCTCTGGTTGGTGCTATATGTGATGGAGTCAGTGGTTATGTGGCTACCATCACATGGCCTTTGCTATAGACCGCTTTTTATGCAACACTATATAGGATCCTATGCTGTGGATCAAATACGTTGTAAACCCATGGATAGTGATGCTGACTGAGGCCATGTGAGCACATTAGGCAAAACTTTACCTCGAATATATGTATGTAGATTCTAGTAAAGATGAATCACTGTCTTCCAGGCTGGAAGAGTCCAATGTAAGCAACCTGCCACCAAACTGTTTGTTGGACCCCTCAAAATATGGTGCCATGGGTAGAACCGAGCTTAAGCCTTTGTGGTTTGCAAGTTGAACATTTTTTAGCAGCAGTAGCTTGATTAACTTTGTTGAGTGAACCCCAGGTGGTTAGCCTTTATCTGTCACTATGCTACTTTCTCCATTCATGGCCAGCTACAAAGGCTGCTGGCATCAACTGGCTGACTGCTGCAAAGTTCTTCATACCCATGCCTACAATTTCTCCATATGGCTTTGCGTCTGGCCTTTTCAGCTCTGTTTTACCAATTTTTCTTCTTCTAAGCACTGACTAAGCAATTAGGTTATCTGATACTCCTTTAGGGTTCATAATTCTATTTCAAACTACTTTTCTTTCCATACCAAGTGGATTACCAAGACAACCACTTACAGTTCTTCCCATTAAGAAGCTTTATCTGAACCAAGCTTTTTCCTTAAACCAATTTTGACTTTTCTCTTCTCCATCAGCTGGTTATAAAAGGATCCCCCATTAGGCCATTGGTATGAATTGAGGGAAAAAACTGGTTGAAGAGAGGTAGAACACATAGGGGTCTGCACCACTCGCTCATCCTACTTATATCCGCATAGTGCTTTTATTGCCTTTAGTCATGGCTAATCTATTATTTCCGTTGTACTGTGACATGGTGTATCTGATAGAATACAAGTTTTGATGGGCAATTCTGGCTAACTGCTATCTCCATTTTTTAAGAGGTTCAATAGCTCACAAGGAGCTATTTTTCAAAACAGTTTATTATTCTTTACTATGGATGATCCTCAACCTTATGAGTCTCTGCTGTGATTCATCTATGGGCTCTTCCCAGGAACTCATAACTGTGACCTGCTTAGCTATACATTCCACAGGTTAGACCTGATGCAGACTTCTTTTCTGCTCTGGGTTCTACTTAATGCTGGAAGCCTTTTACATTACTTAGAATGTGGGTTGAAGAAGTATTCCCAAATGAGGAATACATTACCTCCACTGTCTGAGGAGCCTTAGCAAGTATTTTCCTTCCTTCATCATGGTGAAAGGTATCCTTTTTCCTGGGATTCGTCATGGCATTTTTAAATTTACTATTTATTACCCCCCAAAAAATCAAAACTTTACATTATTACCATACATTTTGCTGTTTGCCTTAATATTGTGCAACACTAGTTTTAAAAGCAAATATGAGAACATTTAATTCATATGAGGAATTGCCAAAATGACATATTCATATTTTGTAACTCATGCTTGTATGTATACCTCATTCTTTTCAGAAATGAAGATACTTCATAAAACCCAACCATTTTAATTTTACTTGTTGATATGTACACGTTCTACCAGTAGTTTTCACCTTCAGGTTACTGGGAGTCAAGAATGTCTAAAGGAAAGGAATGTTGATTGCCCTTTTTCTTTTCTTCTACATCATCATTTTCGGCATAAGTGGTTGACTAATGTAGGCAAGTAACATTTAAAGAAGGAGACAAAAGGGCCCTGGGCACTGTTTTTGTTAGAATGTAACTGTTTTCCTTCTGTGTTTAAAGCAAGTTTTGGTTCAATTGGAAAATGTGACCTCTAGGGCCGCATTACCTAGTCATAAGTGCAACATACTTGTCCCCACTGCCAGTTTCAATTAACTCCCATGCTTCCTGGATCCACCAGAATTCCGTGCTCGTGGAGTGATACTACATGCAAGTGGAATGACAAGAATGGGAGAGCACAGAGATAGTGCCTACTTGGTCTCTTCTGCTTGCATACATAGTCTTTGTTAAATCAGACATGTAAAACATAGAATCAGTTGCAGCTTTCCTTGCATCACTGCTGGGATGAAGCTGATCCTGCCATGAGTGGTTTATTAAGCAGATTAAGTATAACCATGAAAGAGACTTCTTCACCATGGCCAAGGAATCTATCATTAATGCATGCTACTCTGTGAATGGTGAGAGGCTGGGCACCTACATGGGCCATACCAGAGCTGTGTGCTGTGTGGATGCTGACTGGGATGCCAAGTATGTCCTCACCCATTCAGCTGACAACAGCTGTCATCTCTGGGCCTGTGAAACAGGGAAACAGCTGGTCCTACTCAAGACCAATTCAGCTGTTTGGATCTGCAGTTTTGACTTTGGGGGCAACATCATCACGTTCTCCACAGAGAAGCAGATGAGCTACCAGTGCTTTGTGAATTTATTTGACCTGCGGGATCTGAGCCGGGCTGGCAACAATGAGTCCTACATGAAGATCCCTTGCAGTGACTCTAAAATCACTAGTGCTGTTTGTAGCCCCCTTGGGGAGAGCATCATTGCAGGCCATGAGAGTGGGGAGCTCAACCAGTATAGTGCCAAGTCTGGAGAGGTGTTAGTGAATGTTAAGGAGCACTCCCAGCAGATCAGTGACACCCATTTATCCAGGGACATGACCATGTTTGTCACTGCATCCAAGGACAACACAGCCAAGCTTTTTGACTCCACAGCTCTTCAACATCAGAAGACTTTCTGAACAGAACATCCCATCAGCTCAGCTACCATTTTTCCCAGCTATGATCATGTTGTGCTGGGCAGTGGTCAGGAAGCCATGGATGTAACCACAGCCTCCACCAAGATTGGCAAATTTGAGTCTGGGTTCTTTCATTTGGCCTTTGAGGAAGAGTTCAGAAGAGTCAAGGGGCACTTTGGACCTATCAACAGTGTTGTCTTCCATCCTGATGGCAAGAGCTGCAGCAGTGGCAGTGAAGATGGTTATCTCCATAATCTACTACTTTGACCCACAGTACTTCGAATTTTTTTTTGAACCCCTACCTTGTATGAATTCTTTTTTAAAATATCCTTAAGTTCTGGGATACATGTGCAGAATGTGCAGATTTGTTATGTAGGTATACATGTGCCATGGTGGTTTGCTGCACTCATCAACCTGTCATCTACATTAGGTATTTCTCCTAATGCTATTCCTTCCCTTGCCCCCCACATCCCAACAGGCCCCAGTGTGTGATGTTTCCCTCCCTATGCCCATATGTTCTCATTGTTCAACTCCAACTTATGAGTGAGAACATGTGGTGTTTGGTTTTCTGTGAATGAGTTCATGTCCTTTGCACGGATGTGGTTGAAATATCATGAATTTGAGTCTGAGGTGTGAGAAGCTGGATCTCTGTCTAGGCCAGGAAATGTTCTCACATAATGTTTTGAATTCTGAGAAAGAAATCTGTTTGGTAATTTAAAAAAAAATAGAGTCTAAGAGAAATTAATAAGAACAGCGCATTAAACCAAGCACCGAACCCTTCTGAATGCAGAGGCAAATGATAGGCCCATGAAGCTGGTCCTGGTCATTGGTTGCTTTGGAAGAAAACAGGGGAAGTCATTGCCATATACACTTGTCATAGTGTTGCAGAGTACTTCATTATCAAGACTTAGCTTCTTTTTTTTGGCCAATCAAAATCTGATTTCCAGATGTGAGATTTGGCTCAGGTCCAGAAACCATTGTGACATTTTATTCAGATAGCTGCCCTCACATTCCTGGTCACTCATCCTTAATATATTTTATTATTATAATTGAGAAACAGTCTTTGTCCTATCCCTAGATACTGAGTGGCTTTCTGCAGGCCAGAGTCTCCTGGCTGCCACTTTGATTTTGCTGCCTATTACAGCAATTGTGTACGCATTTTTTTCTGATGGTTAAGCGTAGCCACTGAGCCTCTATTATTTTGGGATCTCCCTTGCTATCAGTGAACCCAGTGCTATGAGAGAAACTTCCACCATCTTCCCTGGCTTACTGCAGATGGCCGTCACTGAGATTTTCCAATTATACTGGTGAACTTCTCATCAGTGTATTCCAGATCACTGGTAAATTCAATGTCCTCTGAGATCTCCCATGTAACAATAATCTGGTGCCTTACACAGTATATTCCTCTGGCATGCATCTCTGAACCTTTTGAATCCCTTCTTTTACTACTTTGGATAAGAATTCTGGTATCTCTTGCATATAATATGGTCTATCACTTTCTTCATGCTGCTGAAAGCCCTCCTAATAACATGATACCATTATTTCCTCGGTCCTTGTGAGGGTGTGAAATTCTATATTATGAAAGACTTTCCAAATATTACTAAACTATTTCTTAATAAATCCTTGATTCAGTACTCCCAGGATTCAATTCCATGCATCCTCTATTGCATCCCATTGATATATATTGGTTAACTTCTGTAGCTCCTCTGAGGTTGGTCTTTTTCTCTTCCAAAAGACCCAGGACTTTCCTGGCCAGGTTGTATCAAGACATACTGATGACCAGAAGAGCAGATGGCAATAAATTTTGATATAATATGTATTTTATTGGAAGAAGCAATCATTTCTATCGTCTTTAAGTATAGGGAGTGCTAGCCTTTAATAGAACGGAGTGAGCTACCACTGAAATTCAAAGACTTAAGCAGAATCTAGTAATTTAAGTTTCAAATGCATCAACATGAGTGTCCCTATCCCACATCTCAAGATCTCACTTATTCCTAAACAAGGCCCTCATATTGGCATAGAGGGTCTTCCAGGATTGAAAATTCAACTTGTTCTCAACCTCTTCTCCCTGCAAAAGTTAAGATGTGACCTTCATCCTTGCCTTCTTCAACCTTTCAGTTATGGGAGATGAGAATGTCTTTATTTGCTTCCAGTATTTTCACACTTAATCTTTAATTGGTGATGAATTAGCCTCAGTCTTGCATTGTTTTTCTCCAGCACAGTATATTCCCCATCCAGTTCTATAATTTCTGAAGTCATTTTCTCAGCCTGAAACAGTGCACCTGCCAATTTATTTCCTTCCACCTATGAAGTTGTAACAATCACATTACCACAGCATGCCAGGACTCCCAGCACTTCGCATATTATCGTGGCTGGATTCCTCATCTGCAGCCAGTCAGAAGGTGAAACAGCTCCAATATCTCCTTTCAGAGTCGGCCTCCTCAAACCCTTTCTGCAGCCAACTCTATAGAGCAGATTCCTAAGAAAACAGACACTTATGTGGATATTTGTATTTAGAAAATGTATTAGTGAATACCCTTCAGATCAACATCTGGGAACATTGAAAAAATTAAAAAAAAAAAACAGAAAGAAAGTTAAAGGAAACTTACCTCTGCTGTAATTGCTACAAAAGCCTCAGCTGACACCAAGCCAAGGTCTAGCACTCAAGAGCCTTTCACGGTGGTTTTGCTGTGATGCAAGCGGGCTAGGCTTTTAAATTCCTTTACTGATCATTCAATGGATATGGCCTTTCCTTGGGGAGTGATTGTGACCTCAGACAAGTCAGATCTCTTCAATCTGTGAAAATTTTCAGCTGAGAGGTACTCAAACATCCTTCAGCTGAGGGGAGCATGATAACATTGACTAATGTTATTTAAATAAACAAAATAATGCTTCCCCAATTATTTTAGGAAATATCATTAAGAAATGATCCAATCCTAACCAGTTCTAGTTTAATTCATTTGTTTGGCCATTTATAAAATTGAAATATGTAAAATAAAATGAAAATCTGACATTATTTTCCAGAATCCCTCACTGAGAGAACATAAATTACTTAGATTTTCACCTGTGAGTACTTTTCATACTGCAAATATCTATATGTTCAATATCTATATGTTCAAAAGTACTGATGCAAAGTCAGCAAGAGTTCAAAGCCATAGTCTTCTCACTCACCAAAATAACTATTTGCCTCTTTTGCATCTGTCTTGATAGCCTTACTGTATGAACTAGTAAATTGGAGTCTCAGGCTTGGCAGGCAAAGCAACTTGGTCTCAAACAGTCAGTTTCGTTTGGCATTTAAAGACAGTGTTCGGACACTTCAGTTTATCTTATTTCTGTTTTGTTACTGTTTTAAAAAATGCAAAGTACTAGTTTTAACTGACATTCGGCTAGTTTTTACAAACTTTGAATCAAGAAAATTTACTCCTTGGGTACACAGTTCTATGAAATTTCAAAATTCGGTAGTGTGACTAACACCGCCAACAAGAAAGAACAATTCTATCAGCTCAAGAGCTTTTCTTATATTATCTCTTTCTGTTTCAGCCTTCTACTCACTCTCTCTCTCTCTTTCTCTTTGTTTTCAGATAGGATCTCACTCTTGCTCAGGCTGGAGTGCAGTGGTGAAGTCTCTGCTCACTGCCACCTCTCCCTCCTGAGCTCAAGTGATCTTCCCACTTCAGCTTCCCGGGTAGCTGGGATTGTAGACATGTGCCACGACACATGGATAATTTATTAATTTTTTGTAGAGATGAGGTCTCAGTCTATTGCCTAGGCTGAACTTGAACTCCTAGTCTCAAGTGATCCTCTTGCCGTGACCTCCCAAAATCCAAGGGATTACAGGCCTGAGCCACCACACCTGGCCTTCTGCTCCCTTTTAATGCTTAGTAAACACTACGTAGTCTATTTTCCATACCTACAGCGTTTTTTTTTTTCAAAATGTCATATATATTGTCTCATATAGTATGTAAAATTTTGAGTCTAGATACTGTCACATGAGATTTTTAATAAAGCTCTTGAATAAGATACAGGATGGATTTTGTATCCATCCCATATTTATTTTATGCATTTCGTTTTTATAAGTGAACAAACAAATGAACTTAAAAAAAAAAAACAAAACTAGGATTGGTTAGGATTAGATCATAAAACATTTGAGATTTATTCATTTATACATAAATAGTTTGTTCCCATTAATTGCAGAGTAATATTCCATTTTTGGATGTATCACCATTTATTTCTCCGTCTTCTAGTGATATGGTTTGGACACTTGTCTCCTCCCAATCTCATATTGAAATGTGATTCCCAGTGTCGGACGTGGGACTAGTGGGATCTGTTTGGGTCACGGTGGTGAATCCCTTGTGAATGGGTTGGTGATCTCTCTGTGAGTTCTTGTTCTACTCCTTCACATGAGATCTGGTTGTTTGAGTGTGGCACCTCCCCCTCCTCTCTCTTGGTCCTCTTGCCATGTGACCAGTTCCCTTTCCCCTTCTACCACAATGGAAAGTTCCTGAGGTGCTAACTAGAAGCAGATACGGGCACCATGCTTCTTGTATAACCTGCAGAACGATGAGCCAAGTCAACTTCTTTTCTTTATAAAACACCCAGACTCATGTATTCCTTTATAGCAACACAAAGCAAAATAACACCTAGTTAAGGAATATTGGCTTGTTTACAGTTGTTGTGATTTTTTTTAAAAGCTCTTAAACAAACAGGATACAGGATGGATACAAAATCCATCTTGTATTTATTTTATACATTTCATTTTTATAAGTGACCACAAAAATGAACTAAAACAAATTAGAATTGGTCAGGATTAGATCATTTCCTAATGATATTCCCTAAAATAGTTTTGGAAGCAAATAAAAGGCTTACATTTTATATAGATAAATATTTAGAAATAGAATTTATGGGTCATATGGTAAGAGTATGTTTAAATTTATGTTAAATTTTTAAACTGTTTTCAGAAGTATATCTCTGTCAGCAATGCATGAAAGTTATACTTGTTCCCCATACGTTTTAGCTGCTGGTTTGGTCAGTCTTGTTGTTTTAGCTGGCAATATATCTATTTAGGCTTACACTACATGCTCTGTTTCACCTCATTTGCATTGTAGTGTCAGATTTCAAAACCTTTTTTTGCGGTTTGTTTCTGCCCCGCATGCTACTCGTTGGTGGTGTTTGTGACTTACGTGGTAGTTTAGATTATAGTTCATTTGACAAAGCCTTTGTTATGTTTCTCAGACGCATTACAAGCACACATACAGCTTGAGGATGACCCTGGGGCTTGTA